ACTAAAATTCTTTGCTTGAACGAGTCATGTTTGCATGGTGTATGGCGATATGGAGAAATTAGGTTTGGATTATGTTCGACAAGAAGCTTGTTGAACAGTAGACACAAAATAGTAAAACTGTTGCCATACACTAAAAATTAACTCTACTGCTTAATAACAAAAATTTAATGAAAGTTTAAAAAATTTGCCTGCACCGCTACTATACGCTATCCGCTAGCGGCACCCCTGGCATACGCTCGCGGCACTTCAGGGTTCCGCAGCACCCACATTGGGAAGGCCTGCCCTAGATATTACAAGCCAAAGTTTAATTTACCAAATTCATAAACTTTGAATCAATTGCGCGGGCTAAAGATATTATTTAAATTAATCTTTCGTAGCCAATTATTATTGGCTTAGACCTAATGGGCTGTTTTGATTACGCGTAAAAGCACATTTAGCGCATTTAGCTCTAAATGCTACTCTAACAGGTCTATTCTGCGCTGGTAACATAAAGTTTGTAGCCGGTAATTAAAGTGTCTGTAAATTTTTAAACCTTCGTATTCTGTGCACTGTTGTACCCGGTAAATTTGGTTACCATCTCATAAACTGGTAACAAAATATTGCCCCGTGAAATATGCAACACAAGAATTTCCACAAATCTTCATAGCTGCACCGCTGAATATTTTCATTGCATTACCAACGTACCTAGAATCGCGGTGACAAGAAGTGGTAACATTTTTTGGTAATAAAATTTTCCGGTCACAAAATCTTCGGTAACGTGCAGAATAGACCTGTAAATGTACATTTCTCCATACAAAATTTGTCACCTCAATGCAACTCCATGTCTGCATTAAGAATCTAAATGCTAAAAGCAACCCTGCGATCTTCAAAAATTTCCGCGATTCGAACATGATTTAAAGAGAACAAGTGGCAACATTGCTTTTTCGTGTATACAGTTGCTAGCTGCGTTTCAGTGATCGCGGATCGAGATTTCATTTAATATTTTACATTATTTGGATAAAGAAAAGTTACGCCAAATGAACATCGATGTGATGCTGAAAAAAACCTGTATCAATTTATGATCAACTCTGTTTGTTTTTTCCAAATTAATTGATGAAATTTTAATTCACAGCACCCACAAATGAATATACATATACACAAACAAACAGCTAAATGTTTGCTTTTATATTAAAATATTAATAATGTTGCCGCCATGAAGTTATCGCGCAAATGAAAATGTAGCTGTCAAAGTACCAAATTGCTGGCAATATTTTTCAAGATAAAAGCTCTGATAATTATTGCTTGCCAAGAGAAATATGTGGTCTCCATTTTCAAAATTTTTCCTGATAACATTATCAAGATAAAAAATTTTGCCTGTGGAGATAGCAAGTAAGTTTGAGAACTGTCAAAAATGCAAGTTCAGTGTCAAATAGGCAAAAGTTTTATTTGAAAGCATTTTGCAGGCTTTTGACAAAGAGGTATGTTCCCGTTCTAAATATATTTAAAGAAACTGCTGCGCACTATTCAAACAAAAATTTGCTTACTTAAATTTAAAAAATTCGCTGAAAGTAAAGCAATTCGAAATGAAACAAAAATAGTTCGTTGGTTCCATAATTATGTAAACATAATTAACAAATCGCTAGCTTAGAGTAAAAAGTTGCAAAGTCCACTTTTTAAAACTTGGTACGAGAGAAAAAACTTATTCTTAAAGCCCTTCAATTCTTCAATTAAATCTTAAGTAAATTTTTTGGTTATATTTTTTTTTGGTAAATGTATATACATACATATAGTCATACATATATATGTATGTATCATTATTAACACACAAACATTAATTCGCATTAATGTAAAAATAAATCTGAAAATACTGAGCTGTATTATTTAATTATTTTATTAATATTCTGGAGTTTTCTAGGAAAATATTTCTTAATGTTAACTTTAATGTGACTTTTCAACACCACAGCTGGTTACTTTGACGGCGTTCCAAGCCCCCATTTGGCCAAATAAGTTTTCAAAGTAAATTAAAGAAAGCAAGGCGTGCAAACTAAGCCTGCTTTGGATGAGCGCAGTGTAACAAGTTTTCTTAAAATTCTTATCTCATGTCACACTTACGATAGAGAATCAAAAAATGGTGACGTATGTAACGAAGCGTTTTTCTCTAAGGCCCCGACCCTTCTTTTCTCTGCTGGGGTATACTCACCGTGTCCGGGGTACGTTACAATAAATTTTTCGCAAATAGTACTTTATCTATTTATTCTTATCTTCTAAAATATGGTATTTCTTATCTCCTACAAACACAGTACGGTTAAGGGCACACAAATTCCTAACAATGCCCGCGGTCGGGTGAGGTTGGCACGCTCTGGGTGTGCGACGCCGACGCGATTCTGTCGGCGCTCTGCTGAGGGACGACGTCAGCGCTACTATTTCCGCGTTCTGTTCCTGTGCTACGTCGGTGCTACTATGCCGGCGCTCTGCTCCTTTGTGACGTCGGTGCTACTATGCCGGATCTCTTTGGCTGTGCGATGTCGGCGCTTCTATGCCGACGATCTGTGGCTATGCGACGTCGGCGCTACTATGCCGGCGCTCTGTTGCGTTGCGAGTGGGCGTAACCGTTATGCGTCTTCGCGGTGGACTGTGGAGGGGCGGTGCTCTACCTTAGCCAAGCCTTGTATAGATGCCTATTTGCAAGTCATGCGCTATTCACTAGTAGCTGTGCGCTCACGACCACAGCTCCGCTACTGACGCTTAGATGTTGGGCGACGTCGGCTCTATGCTTTTGGGAGACGCGGCGCTACTCTGCCGGTGGACGAACGGGTGTCGCCGTCATGCGGGTTCAAGGTGGACTGTGGATTGGCGGCGCTCTACCTTTGAACAGCCAAGCCTTGTATAGTTGTCTATTTACAAGTCGTGCGCTCACTAGTAGCTGTGCGTTAACGACCACACATCCACGCTGACTGCCTCGTATGTTGCTAAGTCACTGTTATAGATGTGCTCTTCGTGTTGTTGAGTCGTGTAGATACATGTTGCATAGCTTTGGTGACGGTGTCGCCAAGGAGTGTTGATACCACAGTGACCACTTTGTGAGTAATTCCTCAAAACGTGAGGAATTTCTGGTGCGCTTGAGTATTTTTGAGGATTTTTATTTTGAGGAACTTTTGAGGAATTTTCTCTCGATATATTTGCAGATAACCAATGCAACCATGTATTGTACAACAGAGTGGTTAAATCGCTCTGCAAATTTTTGAACAAAAAGCTTTCCAAAGTTTTAAAAACAGCGAAAAACAAACATTGCAACCATGCAAACATGGCTCGTTAAAGCAAAGAATTTTAGTTTTTTTCCGGTTCCGGTTTTGATTTTTGTTCACATTTCCCTCAAACGGCTTGTCAAACCTTCAAACACCCCCATACACAACATAAATAGCTTTAAGCAAAGGGATATTTCGCTTGGTTTATCAAGCCCCTTGTGTGGTGTGTTTCGCTCTTACCGGCCGTCTTTACGTGCTCGAAAATCCCGCTTGCGTGGCGAAGCATGCGAGATCCCGCACGTGTGTTTACGGCTCATAGGGAAATTTGAAAAAATGCCTAAAGCTATGCAACCATTTCTTTTTTTTTGAAATCAAGTAAAAACCACACAGTCGTACATACATGTGCTTTTGAAATTATGAAAGAAAATGTGAACTTACTTTATTTATGTGAAGTAATTTGATCGAAACAAAGTAATTTATGCTATAATGTGAATATTAGGGTGGGTCAAAAAAAAGAAAGTGTTTTTTTTTGGATCCGACACACGAAAACTAGTTCCTAGATACCTCTAGAAAGTACTTACCAAATATGAGCTCTTAATATTAACAAGAAGATTATGCTCATCATAGTTTTCCATTTTCAATTTAGTCTCATATAAAAATGATCATATTTTATCACCAATAGATCGTTAAACCAGTTGCATCGTCAATATTTATAGGAAACTGAACGCTCTACAAAAATGGTCTCTTATATTCTATTCATTAATCTAACCATTTAAAAGATATTCAAGATCAAAGATTGAAGTATTTTAAGGCAAATAACTTTTTGTTTTGAATTTTGTAACTTACACAAAAATAATTATTGTCAAATGAGTTTCAATTATTTCTATAGGAAATTAAACTCTCTACAAGAAAGGCCTCATGTAGTTAATCGATTACTCCAACCATTTAGAAGATATTCGCAGTAGAATCCCAATACCTGATTTTAATAATTTTTCAATAAATATTTTCAATTTATCCATTCAATTTATGAATTTTGACAATATTTATGAGAATTTGAGTTTATTTCAGTTTGAAAGTTATGTCTTATCTTTTGTTTGAGAATATATTTCTTTCGAATACATTTTTTAACGGTATTTTCTTTTTATAACTTTTATCACAATTTAGGATCGCAATTTAATATTTTTCAACGGGTTTATTAAAAATGTCATTCAAATTCCTTTTTTCCACAAAATTTATAATTGAATATTTTATGTTTGGGGAATTCGAAGATTTAATTTCGAATGTCGGTAGTTCTGTTACTCAGTACTTTGTAATAGCCGCCTGTAGGTCAATGGTAATCAGCCCTATCCTCGA